TTACTGCAAACTTTACCAAAGTCCTGAAAATGAGCCATTGTTGCCCGCACTAAACTGCCTTGTACTGTATTTCATTACAATCTTTGAATAACAAAATGTTTGTATATATTTGTTTTGCAAGATGTTCCATGACATGAAAATATATAACTGTCGTCAAAGGTTTTGATACTCATCATAAGCATGAATGTCATGGTAATTTTTGCTTTTACTAATTTCTTTGAACTGTTATTTTTCTAAAACAGAATAGTTGCACAGCATATATCTTTTATGAAAAAAACTGAGTGTATAAGTTTAAATGTATGTTGGACTTCAAAAGTATACATACAGGCTCAGCAAGCTGCACCTTAGCCAGATGGTTTTGGTTACCATGAACAAGTTTGTGGCATAACTGTGGCTGGACATTTGACCACTCATCTTGGCTGAATTGGTAAAGTTAATTTAAATTTTCAGGGGGTTGAGGTCAGGCCTTTAGGAAGGACATGCCAGAAGTTTAGTGTTATCCTGCTTCATCCATTACAAAACCAGTTCTGATGTGTGTTTGGAATTGTTGTCTTATTTTTGCTTTAATTAAAGTTGAAAAAGGTATTCTTCTTTCATTATTCCATTCACTTGCTGTATTGTACCATTACCAACGGCATTAAAACAGCACCAAAGGAGGACGCTATCACCACCATGCTTGACAGCTGTTACATTGTTCTTAGATTTGAAAGCTTCACCTCTTGACACTGTGGCCAAATAGCTCAATCTTTGTCTTGTCTGATCATAAAAATGTTATCCAGAAGGCATTTAGTTGGTCTATGTGGGCAGCTGCAAATTTCAATCAAGCTTTAAGGTGTTGATTTAAGAATAAGGGCTTCTTTCTTGGTCACCATCTTCTTAGTCTATAGCACTGTAGAACTTGCTTGACTCTGGACACTGTTGCTGGTGTTCCAGTAGTTTCCAGTTCATCACATCGCACTTTTACGATCCCTGATTTGTTACTGAAGATCCTAACCAATTTCCTCTCATCTGAGTGTTACAGTTTGGGACTTCTTCCAGATTTTGGCAAAGTGGTAATACAAACTGTTTACCCAGTTCCTGTTTTTTTTTTGTTTTTTTTTAAGTAATTAAAGATGTAGTGCTGTACAGCTATTCCGCCCTGGATAAAGAACAGTTAAGAATCCGTTAAAAATCCCAAATTACAATGACATTCATGCCCATGATGAGTGTAAGTAAGCTTCTGACCACAACTGTGAACTTCAGGAAGACATCATGTATAGATCAAATATCTTTTTGCTAGATCAAATGAGTGGAACGGCTCTTTTGCAACAGGATATATGAGCTCAAGGCACACATTCTTCTACATCTTCTATATACAGTGTATGTGCAGACCGCATTTCTAATAAAATAATGCATCACAAGTTTTGCCATCCCCATGGGAACAGCTATCCTGCTTGAGACATCAGTGTTTGATTAATAGTGAATTAATTGAACATCTTTCACAACTACATAGAGAAACATCTCCTTCTGGTTGCAGACTTTGCACTGATATGGAAAGGCAGGCAAGATGGACTATGTGAAGGATAAGCCTCAGTAGTACTGTGCCTTTTTGGAGCGAGAAAAGGCTCTGTAAAGATGCTCTTTCTAAAGAGCAAATATATGTACTCAGTGGACATTTGGAGATTTCATACTTTGTGGTTTTCTGATCTTAAAAGCACTTTCTTTGATGTACTTCCTATCTGCAAGAAGCATCAGCAGAAAAAAATATAAGACTGAGTGTTAATGTGAAACACTTTGCTTCAAACGATACCATTATATCAGATCTGCATTTAGTAGTTTGCCCCCCATCTTACTTGGCCCAGACAAAGCTTTGTAATCTTGTATGCAACGCAGTCCATATAAAAATATATGAGCAACAAAACTGGACACTGAAAATATCCTTCGTAAAATTAATTCTGTGATGCACAAATGGTCTTTGAGTTTGGCCTTTGGGTTCTGAGCCATGAGATCACTTAACCTTTAAGGACTGTTTGAACAGTTCCATCAGCCTAAAATATGGCCTATAAATCTTTAAGCAGGGCATTTTTTATGTGGAGGATAGTGTTGCTATGCTCTCTCAAATTCCTGAGAGAGAGAAAAAAAGCAAGACAAATGGAGTCCTGGGATTGATTCTGAGAAGAAGAAAAAATGACTTCATTTTGGAGGATTTTTTCAGTTTTACTTCTTAAAGTTCACTTATGGCAATATGTGATCTTTTACAGAGATAGAAGAAAAGAACATATCTAAAATCCCATCCAGACAGATAAATAAAGGTCAGCACATTTCAGTGAAACCTAATGGAACATCCAGTTATGGCTTTTTCTTTTTTTGTGTGGTGTTCCCCATGCATTTCACAACATAACATTTAAGAAAAGCACATGCAGGATATAAAAAAAATCATAAAGTGGATGCACGTGCTAGCTAAAGTTGCAGTAATCTAAAAATGCCACAAACAAGCTTGATGTCTGTGTAATAACAGAACAGGCCTTCTCCTTGCACAGGTGCTACTGGAGTACCTTCGAGTAAGGCACGTGAACCTTAGCACCATCATGCTTATCATGATAGAAAGGACAACGATATAGTGCAAGATAATACATGGCGTGTGAGTTTAATGCAGTGCAATCCTGCAAAAATATCATGCTCGGCAAAATATTTTGCTGGGTAAGTAATGGTTTTGAATAGATTAACTAGAAGCATAAAGTTTGTTACAAATTGAAGATATATTACAAAAAAGAGGCTCACAGTATAAGAACATCATCTGCTAATTTGCAATTATGGTATATGTCACATTAGCATAAATCGTTTACCAAACAAAAGTGGATGCATATGAAGCTCAATCTGTAAAGTTCATTCAAACTGACATTGACATGAAACCACAATCATTCACTTGTATTAATTTCTACTGGGTTTTCTACAAGGTGATAAAAAGAAGAAGGGTAGGGAAAGAAAAAAAGAAAACAAGACAACCATTAATCAAACGAACTGTGCGATGTGTTTGTAGAGATGCACGTGTGTGGTCTTCTTAACACTATATTCATGCACTGAGTGATGGCCAGAAGTGGCAGAAATGACTAGTTGTCACTGGAGCTGTGGCATTGATCAATCATGCCCTGAGGTTGCAGAGGGTTGCTGCATGTGGCATGACAGGAATGCAGGTCACAAAGATCACATCACCCAGCAACATGCACACTGCAAAGACAGCAGGCTGGTGTGGCAGAGAGAGAGGAAAAAAAGAAAAGGGTAAATGATGAATGGCCTCACAAACCTCTCCAGCACTACACAACTGAAGAACGTGACTTTTTTTTTTTTTTTTTTTTTTACAAAAAGGGATCTGCATTCTTTTAAATAATTTTTAGTGGTTTTCTGATTTTTACAAATCAGATAAACGTTCTTGTATGAAATGGCAAACTGTACTGACGAATGATGAAAAAATGCATAGGAAACAGACGAACACTGTAAAATCAAAAGCAAGAAAAAAAAAGGAATAAAGATTAAGATGGCACATGATGGCCATCTACTGGTGAGTTCAATAACTGAGCCACAGGTATACTTTGCACATTTTTTTTTCTGCCAGAAAGCTTTTCTTTGCTCCCACAGACATCTCACACAAACCTTCCCAACTCCATATATGCTGTCATTCTGATGTATGTTGAAAGTTGCACTGAGATTTGATGAGTGTAATCTGGTGCAAGCACCAGCTGTTCAAAGCGGGCAGCACTGGGCTTGTGCCAGTTTTGCAAAGCAGCTGGACGGTCAGATGGAAGTAGAGCTAATGTTTTAGGCAGCTTTCTTTCGCTGTTAGCTGTTTCCTGACAATGTTATAAGCATTTCCCATCCACTCTGAAGGGTTTTTTTTAAGCTTTGTAAGATTTTTTTTTTTTTTGTGGGAAAAAAAACCTCAAGAACCCAGGAGACAGAAAAAAAGCCAAGATGCAAAGCTCAAGCAAAACACTGATGCCACTGACGTTTTGGGACCCCAGAGAACTTCAATGAGAGCCTTTATCCACAAATAAGGAAAACTTGGAACAGTAGTGAACCTTTCTAGAAATGGTAAATAGACTGGTTCTTATATAGTCCCACCAACTTTTTAGTTAGTAGGTAACCTGCGCTACCTCCTGAGTCAGACAGGAGGCCTAAAGAGTATCACAGAACTGCAGACCTCACTTGCTTCAATTAAAGTCAGCGTCCATGATTGAGTAAGAAAGAGACTGGGCAAAAATGGCATTAATGGGAGAGAGTTCCAAGAGGAAAACCACTGCTGAACAAAAAGAACACAAAGGCTCGCTTTACATTTGCCAAAACACATTTCAATCACCAAGACTTTGGGGAAATTATTCTGTGGATAGACAACACCAAAGTGCAACTATTTGTTAATCTGGTGTGAAACTAACAGCATTTTATAAAAAGAACTACAAACACAAAATCAAACATGGTAGAGGTAGTGTGATAGTCTGCAGCTTCTTTGCTGCTTCAGGATCTGGACAGTTTGCTGTAATTTATAGAGAGCAGAATTTATGTTTCTACCACCAAATCCAGAGGGAGAACGTCCAGCCTTCTGTTTGTTCCCTTCAGTGCACCTGGGTTACACAATAGAACAATCCACCTCTGACTGGCTCAATAAAAAAATAAAAAAAAAGATTTTCAAGTGGCTTAGTCCAACTTTGGACTTAAATTTGACTGAGTTGCTTTGGTATTACATTAAACAGGTCATTTATGCTTGCAAAAACTCCAACGTGACTGAACTAAAATTCCTCCACAGTGGTGTTACACACTCATCGCCAGTTAGCAGAAATGCTTAACTGCAGTTCTTGCTGCCAAGGGTGGCACAACTTGATGTTGGGTGCAAATACTTTTTCCAGGTAGGTTTGGATAGATTTTTTTTCCTTAATAAACACATTCACAATTTAAAAACTGAATTTTAGTTTTACTCTGGTGAACTTTGTCTAATATTAAAAGAAAGACAATATTAGGAAGCAGACAGGTGTTATTTTCAAGTATTCTGATTTTTAGTTTATATAGAACAAAGAAATATATAAAAAAACAAAATAGTTACTACAGGAATGGAATTTGAAAACAAAACAGTATGCAACAACAAGCACTGTTCATATTCCACGCAATCAACTCTCCATTACATCTTTTTGCCATCACGAAAATCTCAAATTTGTTATTAAGGTTTCTGGAAAGCAATTTTTATGGTGTGATTTGTTCATGGGAAATTACATTCCCACTGTTTGGACTGTTCCTCAAAGCAAACTGCAGTGTTTCATAATGTTCCTGGCCTCTGCTGCTCAATTTCATCTTCATACAGAATAAAAATAAGAAAACTGTTGAGACCTGATAATTCATCAGTCTTATGTAACGTGCATTATTCTTGCATGGTACACCTAAATGCATTTAGTGCTAAATTAACCCTTTATTTACCATGGGCCCGCTGGTGGGCCTATTTTTAAAGGCACTTTTAAATGATCATAACTCCATTACCGTTTGTGCTGAAAAGAAAAAAATTCCAGTGATTTCATAAAGAAGAGTAGAAGAGCTTTATGGGGATATCTGCCTAGATGTTACCATGTGCACTCACATTACTGTACTTCTCAACCATTTTGGGGGCTTTTAAGAAAATTCAAATGGTTACTGTGTTTTATTTGACAGCCAAAATAAGTCCACCACGCCATGTATAAATCTTGGTCAATAAATGGTTAAGAAACAATTTAGTTACACCACTTAATATTAGTAATATAAATTGAAGTATTTCCAAATCAGCAAAGAAAAAAATAAATGTAAAAAAATGGGATAATGGTCAATCAAAGACGTTATCATCTGAAACTGTTGTAATGAAATCTACTCTTACCCAAGCAGAATGCCATCCAGCTCTGTTGCAGATTTAGAGTCTGATAAACACCAGAGAGATCGTTATTCAAAATACAGTACGAACATTTTCAACAGGAATTTTTATTTTAAACATAACGAACAGGTAACAAAATAGAGAGGTTTAATATATTTGACGAAATGTCTTTTGGTCATAATAGCAAAAATAAATAAAATCAATACAGTAATCATGAGTCACTGTCTTCTGTGCTAGAGTCAGTGAAGCTGGTGTTGGCAGAATCTGAAGAACTGCTGCTGCTGCTGCTGGTGGTGCGATGAGATGGAGTTTGACGGCTTTTCTCTGGATGAAGGGGAGTAAAAGAGGCAACATCATTGATTAAATGCTACAGATAGTGATAGCAGGGAAAATCTATGGGTGACTTGTGCCTTAATGTCAAATGAATTCAAGTGAGCCTGTGCTTGGTACTTACTTTGAAATTTCTTAAACTTCTTACAGAGACATGACTTGACATATTGCTCCAGAGCGCGCAGAGTGGATGGCTTTAGCGTCTCAAAGTCAATCTCGATTTCATCTGGGTTGGTGTTGCACACCGAGGGCTCCCGGCTCTGAATGATGTGCACCACGTGGCCCAGTTTCATGCCAGGTAACCGGTTAATGTCCAGGCTTAGCTGGTGCTTTTCAACGTAAGTCATTGGCAAAGAGTCATCCTCTGACTCCCATTCATTGCTCCCTTTCCATGAATATCTATCAAAAAGACAAAGCAGTGAAAATCTCTGTTAAAAAGTAATACCACAAAATAAAAAAAAGTTAATGAGCTAAACAAAACATCATACCTAGCACAGGAATTTGATGTACATCTGGAATTCAATACTCCAACATTTTGTCGACTGTTGTCTTTTTTGTCCTTTTCTTTTTTCTTCTTTGGTTTACTCACAGGGGATTCAGACAGAGCAGCAAGCTGTCCATGAACGGCTTTAAGCTGGGAATAAAAGTGCCACAAAAATTAGAAGTCTTGTATTCCTGAGAATGATGAATCAGTAGGAAGGTTCAATACGCAGTTAACACCCATGCTCCCTGGAAGTAGCCTTCCAGCAGACCTTGGAAAGTTGAACACACAGGAACTTTTGGCTCAGAAACCAGACTGCAGTTTTCAGAATGAGAGCGAGCCGTGAAGGTGGTATATTTGGCACAAATGACTTGAACTGTGGATCAAAAAGGCAACTGTATTGCCAGCCCAGCTTGCCATTTTGCTCTCTAAAGCATTTAATTCCTCAAAATAAAATGCAATGTAAGGGTTATAGTCGTGGTGGGGTGAAAGAGATTGCACAATGATGTGCACTAGATCACAAAGGAAAATCTAAAAGTAGAAGCAGCTCTGGAAATGGTGCTGAGCTATCCAAGGAGACTACTTCCTTGTGCACAGTGGACAAACTTAAATCAGATATGAGCTTTGTTTTGCTGTGCGTTGCACAACTTTTTCATAGCACCTAGTAATAATACATGAGGCAAACATCTGTGCAGCAACCCACCTGATCTGCACCCACCTGTTCTTGCAACTCAGCAAGTCGGGTGGCACGCTCCTCTGCAGACTCTGGTTTGTCCAAACTGCCACCTGCTTGTGAGGTCACTTCCACGTGTTCGTCTGGCATCTTTGCAAAACTTTGCTCGAAAACTCCCTGAAGCAAACAGAGTGAAATAGAAAGCAGAGCAACCAAAACTTTCCCCCTCCCACCCATTTTTAATAATAATATTCCAAACCCACCTGAAGTTTTCTGGCCTTAACAACAACATCATGATGTGCAGGATTGTATTTGTAGCAGTTAGAAAAAATTAACCTAACATCTGCAGCAAACGCTTGTGCATCCTGGTACTCTCCTGCATCCACCTTTTTCTGAAAATAAAAAAGGTAACCAAATAAAGCATGTGTATCAAGGCACAAAGCAAATGCATGTATAAAGGCATATAAGCAAACATACTTTAACCGTGCTGAGATCCATGGGGTACTTGATGATGTCATGATAATCGTGTAGCTGCAGAGCTTCTGCGTCTACAGGCTTGTAAAAAGGCCAGGCGTAGGCAGAATGTTTCTTGGACAGCATTTCCTTCAGGATATGCTTGCAGTACTTCAGCTGTTCACTAAGGCCACAGGGTTCAGTGTTTTGTTGTAATGACTCCTCATTAAAGTCGCTCTTGGCACGGCTTGAGCTCTCACGCCTCTTCCTGCTTTCTAAAAATAATTAAATTAATTGTTACAATTAGTTCATTTAAACAAACCTTTTTCTCTCTCTTATCTGCCCTATTTCCTTCATTAGCCTAGAGTTTTTAAAGATGTAAATTAATTAAAGCGAAAATGCTGCTAAAACTAATCTATAACCTTATTAAAACTTTAGACTTTTAATAAGTGGATAAGAAGCACACATAGCTGTGAAACTGAAAGTCTGGATTGCCAGGATTTTGGAGAGTAACGGTAAAACCCATCAGTCTCCATGAACGCCTGCACCCTCTGATCTCATATTTGGTTATTGCTTTACATACAAGGTGTTCAGCATCTCATCAGTGACACACTCCATGTGCTAGCCTATGCAGTCTGCTGAATTCTTGCGACCGAACATCAAAGTACTAGTTTACTACTAATAAGTAGTCAGTGTTACAAGTTCTTTTAAGTGAGTTACCTGGAGTGCTACTTTTTTTGCCCTTCCCTTTGGCAGCATGAGGAACAATCTCCACTTCATTCTGAGGCATCTGGGCAACTTTTTGCAAGTAAATCTTTTCCAAGGTGAGCGCCATCAGGACAATATCGTCTGTAGGCTGAAGAGGACAGAGGGAATGGTTTTTTGCATTTTGTAGCTCAACTACACCAATTTTGGACATGGTGACATATTGTCCTCTTGCATGCCTTAGAGAATTGGTAATTAGTTTAATAAGGAATTTTCACAGTGAATGCCGTTCTAAGAAAATGTTGGCGATCAACGCCGAAAGCCAAATTAACTGCATCCAGGCCCAGTATACAAAACTCGACTCTTGCTCAAACATTCTCCGGCATGGCATATATTGCCCAGTGTGAGGACACGCTTAGTATCTGTAAGGGAACAATGGAAGGAATTTGCAATCACAAAGCTCCTCACCTTATTGTATATGTAGCAGTTGGTAAACATGGTGTTGAAGTCTTCCAGGCATTCACTCGCACTCCAATAATAGTTGTTCTCTAGTCGTTTCTTAATGGTTCCCATGTCCATGGGCAATGTTATTATTTTATGATAGTCCTGGTTAAGAGAAAGAGTTGATGTCAGATGAATATAGCATTACATTTTGCGCTGCCCCACACTGAGGCTCTGCCAAAGTTTGATTAATGGGGAACAATGACACTGCACAATTTCCAGTTTATTCATGTTGGATCTTAATTTAATTAATCTTTTTCTATAAAACTTGATATTAACTAAATGTTAGTTACTTTATTAAGACAGAGTCAAGCGGCATCATTCAGACTACTTAATAGTGTTTGGAACTTAAGGCAAAAATGGAGGTGGCTAATTCGCGACCAACTTAAAATCACCAAGATTAGCTTTTTTGCACTGTCTGAAGTGAGTCAGATAATTGGGCTGGAATTAACATCAATTTATGATTTTTTTTTTAACTGTTTGCATTTTTAGATTCAGCACTAAATTGGGTAAATAAATTAGTTACACTTCATACACATTCTTGATGATGTATTAAAATTTAGGATCAAGGATATATCGGCAGGTTTTCGAGTCATTTCTTACTGAAGTATGGCTAAAACTAGGATAAGATGCAAGACAGAGTGACACTGCATTCCATTATCTCTATACTCACTGTGGTATGTAGGTTGTGCGTGAGAATTAGGAACAAAATAAAAGGGAGGAAAAACAAAAAAATATCTTAGACAACATTATATTAACAGTAAGAGAATAAAAAAAAAAACGAAAAGAAGATCTAGTAGTTTCAGAAGAGAAGAACAGACAGACCCAGGAACACAAAGCAAGTTAGCGTATCTGAAAACAAAACTACAAAACAAAAAAAAGAAATTATATATATGTATAAAACTGCTGGCAGCTACCAGTAAATTTATATTTAACAACAATGGCTAAATAGATCATATAATACAATATAATGCCCACTTAACATCACTTTTGTGGAATTGTGGAATTAAAAAATATTTTCATTATGAGCAAAACTATGACTTACTTGTGCAACTAACTGAAGAAAAGCCCTGCAATCCTGAGGCTGAAGTCATTTTTGTACCATGATTTGTGAAAAACCCATAAAAATGACTTGATGCACTGTAACCCTGTCAGCTGAACATGTGCAAACTACTCACTGGCAGTCCAAGAGCAACTGCATCGACAGGCTGGTAAAAAGGCCAGGCGAACTGGTGCCGCCACAGGGATTTGATCACTATGTTCTGCATATACTGCAGCTGGTTGGTCCTCCGGCCTTGCTTGCTGGGATTGGTCACCTCGGGAGGTGGGGGATTAACAAGCTGAGGGGGGTCCTGGTTGGTGTCTGTGGACATGACGGCTGCACAAATTCTTCTGGGTTCTGTTATCTTCTGTAAGTCATGTAGTGTTCACCTGACAGCTTGTCACACACTCTGAAAACTATGCATGAAGCAGGCTGGGGAATCGTCAAACCACACAATGTGGCCTGCTGACATAAAAGAATAGACTGTTACGATCATGTGGTTCTCCAAATATTAAATATAACACTATAAAAAGAGGAAGCGACTGATTACTTCACACCATTGATATAGTTTCAAAAACAGACTATATCTCATACCTTTTGAAGCTTATCACATTCATTTTACTGTATTATTATGTAAAACAATCTGCACGTGACTGTATAAAGGCTCTTTCCTTGCATGCTGAAAGGAGGCAATTGAGGTATTTCAGGCATCCAGTTAGAATGCCTCCTGGGCATACCTAACTGGGAGGAGACCCTGGGGTAGAACCAGAACCTGCTGGAGAGATTATACATCTCATCCGACCTGGGAATGCCTTGGGACCATGGGGAACTGGAAAGAGTGGCTGGGGAGAAGGATGTCTGAATACTGCAACCCGGCTTCAGATGAGCAGAAGACGCGGAGGCTGTGTAAAGGTTTAGTGGGCATGCGAACTGAGAAATGTTTTCTTGGCAAATACACTGACAAAATTTAAGAGGCTGTTTCACTGATGGTGTTGGAATCAGCTATGTTTATTTAGCTGTCTAGGAATCTGCCTGCAATTATTCCAATTTTAATATTTAGAGAAGGTGGAGAGATGGAGGTATGCATTGGATGGAAGAGGAATCAAGAGGTGAGAGGTGAAGAAGAAAGTGAAGACAAGGCGAAGTGAGTGGAGATGAGTGTCACGGGTGATTTGTGACAGGAGGACAGCAGCAAAAGTGAAAGCGAAGGTTTAGAGGATGGGAGCGAGATGGGCTATGAAGTATGGTTTGGAGCACTAACAAAAAGGCGGGAGGGCGAGCTGGAGCTGTTAAAGGTGAAGATCTAAGATTTTTATTAGGCCTGACTAGAATGGGCAAGATTAAAAATGAGTACATGAAAGGGTCAGCTTAGACTGAGGTTGCTACAAAGGATGATAAAGATGGAGCTGCTAGGTATGAAGAAAAGAGAAAGACAAGAGAAGAGATTCTTAGATGTAGTGAAAGAGAACATGGAGAGTGTTAGTGTGACAGAGGAGGGTGCTACAGATAGGGTGAAATGAAGGGAGATGACCCATTGTGGTGACCCTTAAAGGGAGCAGCAGAAAGGAGCAGGTGATTTCGATTTTTTCTTATTTCAGTTTTATTTGCAGTTCTAATGCATTTCAATTAATTTCGAGGGAGGCTTTGTTCATTTCAGTTTAGTTTTTAAATAGCTTCCAAAACTTTATTCTTCAAATATTATTATATTTTGTTGGTCTAAGTTAACACATTATATTTCAAGACAAACACATTATTGTGAACGCATCCTTTTCTCAATAAATAAAACCAAACTGGGGAAGACTAAATGCATTTCATGTATTTAACTTTAAGTTTTAGTGAGGTGATATTACTGTTTATCTATTTTAACATTTAAATCTATTTTCCTTTATTCCAGATCAAATGTTTCTTCAAATCTAATTTTATTTCATTTGCTCATTTTACTAAACATCGCCACTGGAGAAGGCAGTGAGAGTCTGCATGATCTCAGACGCGGTATAAATCTCAACCTAGCTCATGTAATATCATACCATTAAATACAAGTCAACTAATATAATGCTAACTTAACGGAGTAAGAAGGAAGAATCGGATTGTCAAGTTTTAAATGAGCACGACAGAGTTAAATAATCAGGAGGCCAGCTCTTGGGAACACTAACCAGTCACGTTCAGCACGTTAGCTTCATTTGGCTAGCAGGTTAAGGTAAACCTATATGGGCGCATTGAGAGACAGATTTAAGTCGTCACTGCAAATGGGCAATAAAAAAAACACTACAGTATCTTGTGCAGTGCCTACTGGGGTTTGTGTATTACAATTGGGCCTCGCTCTGCCGCGGTTAACTTACCACTTACAAAGTTTTCATAGGGACGCCAGTCGCTGTTACCTGAACGCTCGCAATTACCTTCAGATAACGGCAACACATACATGTACCACATAACTTGTTTCGCAGAGGATGACGGGAGAGTCACGAGTGTTTACCAACTCGTTTTTTCTTCTTATGAAGGCACTTTAAAATGCTAGTTTCTATTTAAGACCGTTCGCGCCGCACCGAAGGCCAAACAGAGGGGAAAAAAGTCGCGATACGGTAACTCCTGGCTGCACTTAGACCAGCTGAAAACGTCCACACAAACCTGCTGCGGGCATGGCTTCAAGTAACAAGCTACCCTTCGTCGAAAGCTTCGGTGACCAATTTTTTTTAGCCAAAGTTAACAGCGTATACCGCCGCCTGCTGTGTCGGAGGGTATCGACAATAAAACCAAAATGACCGAAAGTAGGGCTGCTCAATTAATCGAATTTTAATCACGATTACGATCTGGGCTTTCAACGATCATTAAAAATGACTGAGCCGATTATTAGCCCCTCCCTCATTTATCCGCGACACCTTAAAGGCCGGTCCGTGAAAATATTGTCGGGCATAAACCGGTCCGTGGCGCAAAAAAGGTTGGAGACCGCTGATTAAGAGGACCCGAGGGAAGCTCGGAAAGCTAAGCAGAAGTTATTTGGAGAGTGACTGCCGTTGGTTGAAAAGAGAGTTTAAAAAAAAAAACTTCAGTGGTGTTGCGCACTATTTTATATTATTTTTTAAAGTCATTGTTAACCCTTTAAAGCCGGTCAGAGCAGCACGCTCCGTTTTGCGTAACTATTTTTAAATCCCTGTAGAACCTGAACCGTGTAAGCTAGCGCAATAATTTGTTTTGCATATGAAACCGGAGGAGTTGTACTTACATCTGATGCCATCAGCTTGTCCTCGGTCTCGTTCCACATATAGCTTTGCAAAAATTGCATAAAAAGCGCTTGCAGGAACAAAAACATAATATTCCAGAAACAGGCTTCGCCGTTCCTATCAGCTGTTCGTAACACTTCCCACAGTGAAATGATGCACATGCTGTTTTCTTTGCAAATTTGCATCATAGGATTGTTTTTTGTTTTTCCTGCAGTATATAAAAATTGCTGTATCTCCAAAAATAAAACTATGAAGACACTCAAAATAAATTTCCTGTTGTTGTAAACTATTTTTTGCAACTTTATTGTATTTAAAGTTTTGAGGGATAAGCCTCTTAAATTTCTCCAAGTAGAAATATATGTAAACAAAACAAAAGCGATTTTCAATTTTTTTTGTAGTTTATTGCACTTTTTTGCAATTTATGTAATTACTATGGACTTAATGCATACATATTATTAAAATATGGGCTATAACAGTTGTATTGATGTATAGCAACTTGAAATGCTCCCACAAATGGCACTACAGCATGTAAAAAAATAATATAAGCTCTGGTGGACTTGGTTCTATAGTAGGTCTTAAAGGGTTAAATAAATATCGTCAAATAATCGTTATCTCAATTTCAGTGAAAATAATCGTGATTATCATTTTTGCCATAATCGAGCAGCCCTAACCGAAAGTGTAACGGTCCCGAGAGGAGAGCGTTGATTTTTCTTCTTCTTCCGGCTGCTCTCTTTAGGTGTCGCCACAGTGGATCATCAGTCTCCACCTCACCCTGCGTCTAGCTTCCTCCTCTGCCACACCAACCCCGCATGAACCTCTTCACTACATCCATGAACCTCTTCTGAGGTCTTCCTCTTTTTCTCCAGCTTGGCAACTCCATCTCCAACATCCTTTGTCCAGTATATCCACTACCCCTTCTCTACACACTGTTCAGCTGTCTTCAAGCTGATCAACCTTGCTCTCAGGTACTCATTTCTAATCTTGTTCATTCTGGTAATTCAGAATGAAAATCTCAGCATCTTCACATCTGCCATATCCAGCTCAACCTCCTGTCTTCCTATGAGTGCCACCATCTACAAACCATATATCATAGCAGGTCTCTTTATGATCTTCTAAACCTTCCCTTTGACTTGTGCTGCTATCCTTCTCATGTTCATCTCCACCATTGCCTGCACACTCCTCTTCACCTCTCTTGTGCACTGATTTAAACTCCCATTTAAACTCATCCACCTTCACTACCTTTATTCTTTGGATTTTCAATGTTACATGTGTTTCTTTCTCATTCACACATATTTAATATGTCTTGCTTCAAACGGACTTAAATGCTCATACCTACACCTTTCCAGACTCTTTTCCACCTGCTCCCTACTCTCTGTACATCATAGTCCACTGACCTTATCAGTCAACCTGTCCATTACCACTGCAAATAAGAAGTGGTTTGGAGCCAATCCCTGATATAATCCCAACCCTCCTTCAAACCCATCTGTCACTCCTATTGCACACCACACCACTGTCTTGTTGTCCTCCTAGATGTTCTGCACCACCTTAAGATAAAGATAAAGTTCTGATGCTGGTCTATAAAGCTCTGAATGGTTTAGGACCAAAATACATCAGTGACCTCCTGACCCAGTATGAACCTTCCAGATCCCTCAGGTCATCTGGAACCGGTCTTTTATCAGTTCCCAGAGTCAGAACCAGACACGGAGAAGCTGCATTCAGCTTTTATGCTCCTTATATCTGGAACAAACTCCCAGAAAGCCTCAGATCAGCTGAAACACTCAGTTGATTTAAATCCAGGTTGAAGACTCACCTGTTCTCAGCTGCATTTGAATAAAGCACCAAATCCACACTTTTAAGCTTAAATTTCAAAACTTACATTTAACTACTGATTTTATCTACTGTTCTGATTTTATCTGTTTTGATTTTATATACTGTTTTGTTTGTTTGTCTGTTTTTTTTGTTTGTTAATTTGTTTGTTTGTTTGCTTGTTTTAATCAATTTTAAATCATGCTTTTTACTTGTTTTTGTTTCTAATGTCTCTGTAAAGCACTTTGAATCACCTTGTTGTTGAATTGTGCTATACAAATTAACTTGCCTTGCCTTAAGATATTTCTTTGCCGCATTTCATCTCTTGTACCCAATCATATGCCCCATATATTCTCTAGAAACAATGGAACTCATCCTGACCTTCTCTAAACGTCTTTATCAACAGTTGTTTTTAAAATGTTTTATAAAAATGGAAGATATAATAATGAATGACATGCAAAACTCTCTGTTTAATGGATTGTGGCAGTATGCGCGTAAACACGTTGGTTTGCGTCCCGCCGTGAAAACCAAAGAAGAAGAAGAGCGTAACACGCATGCGCAAAGCCACAGCACACCACATTCCCCGCTTCTCTTTCCCTACAGGCAATCATCCAAGAGCAAGTCACTTGCTGTATACGTTCTCCATGATCGTCTGAATACACATACATGGTGTTTTTTTTTTATCCTTTACAGTGTTTACGAGGAGTAACAATCTGACCGTGAAGCTCCATTAATCTGTGAGTACCGTCTTTATGACTGAATCCTCATTGTGTGAATGGAGGGCCCCTCCATGGTACCTCAGCCAGTTTGTCAACAGCACCAGTGCATTTCGAGTAGCGGCGGCTGCATCATCAAATAACCTTTAGCGTCTATATAAAACCACCAGTTTTAAAGTGGCGTTATCGTTGAGGGTTAAACATCTGAATAGTGATATAACAGCGTGGCTAGCTGTCGTTCAAATACGATCTTAGTCAAGAGTTGAATTTTCCAACCAAGGGAGTCCGTATCGCCCTTTGTTTGATATTCTCCTTTCTCGCACGTTTGTTCTATTTAAACGCGAATTCATGTTAATATATTGCAAACAGATGCCATCTAGTCTTAGCTGAATGCATTTGCGTTTCTGTTTGGTGGTTTTAAGTAGCCACAGCGAAGTAATGCAATGCTAGCTAGCTAAAGCTAGCTTAAATGGCTAAACTTGGAGCTAAATGAGAAAGCAGCAACACGAACAAGAGAAAATAGCTGTAGCCTGTACCAACTGGGGTAAATGCGGCGTTTAGCAAAAACTGCAGCTCACATGAGGAGCATAAAACTAAAAGGAAACATCGTGAGCTAAACGGCAAGGTGGTTTCGTATATACTTTGTACATTTTTATCATTGTGCAATATATACCATTGTTGTCATGTGAGATGGAGAAAGAGGTTTGCCCTTTCATTGCATTTTAATACCACTATCAGACTAAATATCGACTGTATTCAGTCTAAAATTCGTTTTAACTTGACTGTCAGTGAATGTTGCAGTCAGTGCAGGGAGTTATGACCATTAAAAAATAAAATATATATATATATATATATATATATATATATATAGTCTACATTGACTAACTTTAATTTCAGGATTTTAGAGACTAGAAAAAAATTGCATAGTCATCATGTAAATAAATAAACACAAACTAGAAAATTTCTGAAGAAATTCCGAGTGTGCCAGTGTATCTGCTGCTTGAAAACCTATCAGAAACTAAGAATAGTTTTTTCAAACATGTAAGATTTATTGGGTGCATAAAACAGTTGGTTTGAAAAAGTTCAATGAAAAAACAGCTAGAAACATATGTTGAATGGTCATTTTAATAGCAAAGGAATTGGATAGTATGTCTTATTTTATTTTAGGCATAAACATTCACAGGCATTTACACAGTAGTAGTTAATCAAGTTAATGATGCAGTAGTGAAGTTTATAAATACAATCATGTTGTTATCACTTCAAAAAGCGGCTTTAGTATTTTTGAGTTTTTGTTTTGAAAGGCAAGTTTAATTTGTCTAAACTTATTTTAAACCAGTTGTTTGTCAGTCACCAAGTGTCTGAGCGTGAAAGAGACGGTTTGAAAAATGTAATCATACTATCCAGGCTGTCAGTGATATTGTTCATGCAAACCTCTTGAAAAGTTACTGAGGCTCGTTGTTATATCTGTTCATTGGTATTTATAACTGGTATACTGATCAGCACCAGAAGCATAAAGAATCTTTTATGGTATTAATTTTTTCCTCTGCTTTAGCATAGTACACAGTAGATGCTAATTTCTTCACCATGGCAACTGAAGACAAGAAACCAGAGACTGACACAAAACCTCCAGTAGCACCGTCAGCATCTGCCAGCCAAAGCAAGGTTTGAATTTTTGGGACTATCGCTATTCTGTTCCAGCTGTAGCCTTTAGGGCCAGGAAATAGCCATAGTTAGGATTTATAAGAGAATGTATTTTGTTTAATATAGACTTAGATGAATGTCAGTATATTTGTCACATCTCAGCCAAGAGTTGTTAAATGTTGTATTTCCTTTTCACTCACAGTCGGCACCTGCAAAGCCAAACTACAGCCTGAAGTT